AACTGATGTTAAAAGAGCCATCAGATGGCAAGGGAGGGCAGAAATAGTGGTGTTCTGCACATAACAGAAGCCTTGGAGATAGTTACTAATTGTGTTAATTTGACTGCTGAATGAATTCCCGTCAGCCTTGTTATATCTACGTCATTAGACTGCAGCTATAGTCTCCTTAAAAATGGAATAATTTCTTTTTGTACTTTCTGACAGTGGTGTGAATTTGCAATAAATGAGTGACTTCAGTTTCAGCGTCTTGAAAACTTTTTATAATATGTAATGTCATCATCTCTTATTTTATTAGACGAAGATGCTTTAACAGCTGCAGAAGGCACAATCCAGGTATGCTCTTTGCTCATTGTGCTTATTTTGCAGTTTGTTTTTGTTTCAGCTGCCACCTCTTCAGTGACTCAGCAGTTTGAGAGTGGGTTTAGCCGAGCAGGCACTGCTTTTTGTAACCTTTTGTTATGCAAGCAGAGCGGTGGCCCTCATTTTGCAGCTCCTTTGAAACAGGCATAATATAACTTAGTCATGTGGTTCATACAAAAAAGACTTTACCATCTCCTTGTCTTCCAGTGGGCTGGGCAGCTGGGCTTGACAGCAGCACGGCTGTGTGAGCACAGGGTAAGCGGTACACGCACTCAGAGCAGGGAGAGATGAGGATGTAACCACTGTGATGAGCTCCCCTCCCCTCCTCTCCTCTCCTCTCCTCCAGGGAACACAGCCCCCTTGTTTTTTTTCTACAAGGAATAGCAGTATGCTATAAGCTTATAGATGTACCTACTTTATTTTTGCTTTGTCTGAGTTATCATTGAACAATGCTTGAACTTAGGACAGCAGCTGTAGATGTTAACTTCAGATTTCCCAGACTGGCATGAAAGATCATTTCACTAACATCCTAGCTGCTTCGCTGAGACTTCACAATCTGTTTAACAAAACCTCTATTTCAGTGTTGGCTGATGGGTTCTGTGTAAATGAAGGCTTAGGAATGTTGCGTGCAGGTTACATACCTTAAATTTTGGGGGTGGAATTTCTTTTCAGAGGCAATATGGATGAGGAAATCCTGTCCTTCTGTTTTGTCTCCAGCTTTGCTGCAACCCTGGAGTTTTGTCCATGTACTTTTCTGCTCCCCAGCCTCACCAAGGCATAGGGGTTTGAACATGCAGGAAGATCGTTGTCTGGTGGTGGAGAGTGTTGGATTGCATATCGAACCAGAAATAGCTGACACCTTTTGATATACTGTGTCATCTTATAATGAAACCTTTTAAGAACACTTTCATAGAGTTTGCCAGCCAGACGCTGTGATATGACAGCCGTGGGGCTGCCAAACTCATCTATGAAACAATCCTTTTTTTCCTCAAGACTTGCCGTGTAGATTCTTTTCACAGGGTCTCTTCCTTGCTCTGAAGATAAGAGGCTGGTCTTCAGCTGTGTTACCTTAGGAACCAGCCAGATAAACATCCAATAAAATCTTGTTTTCAGGAGTTTGTTTCTGAATATCAGTAGAAAATCTCTAGCTTATTTTCAGTAGGGCCATGTCCCTCTCCTCCCTTCTCCCATCATTCACTATGCCAGACAATAGCATTTTTTTCTCAGAGAGATGGTTATGTCAGGCTTTTATTTTTTTTTCTCTCCCTCACAGTAAATACATTGCCTTCATTTTAGCCCTTAGGAGAAAGGATTTCTTCAACATACCTTCTTAAAGTTGAGGCACTATATGATAAGATACGCAATAGTTTCCAATGTGTCATCATCTTGATAAACAAGGCATGCAAAGCTTTATAGCAAGGTAACTTTGCTATCACAAGAATCTTTTCAAGAAAAATAATAAAATCCAGCAGTTTGTTTCTTACACACTGCAACACTGGCACTGATTTTTTCCTATTGAGTAAAACCTTCTGTTTTAATAATAAAATCAAGTGATTCCTGAGATAGCCAAGTACTGTAAATACCCTCCCCCCCCCCAAATTCCAAAATGTGCTTAATATTTAAAGCTATTAATATTTCTTTTTCCTGCTTAACGTGGTGGAACTATTGCTACTGAAAATTTTTTTTTTCCCCCCTCCTGGATCCTGGAGCGTGATCTCTTGCTTGGTAACCGGGAGCTGAAAGGGACAGGCAAATTCAGGAGCCGTGCTCCAGCACTTTCACTACAGCTGAAATGTATTAAGGGAATTCATCAAACAGCGCTGGGGGGGGGGAATAGCCCAGCACTCCGCATACCTGCACTTCTGGAGTGTTTTTCCACTAGAACTGTTGGAGTGTCAGAATTCATAGAAACCCTGCCAGTTTTTACATGTTTTTATATAATGCTGCCTGGTACAGGACAGTGTAATCTTACTAGTTGATAGCTTACCGTTCTTGTTGAGTCTCTGCAACTTGAGAAATAAACATGCCATGACACGGATCTGAACAGTTTATTTCATCTTCTGTTCCTTTATTTGCACACCTTTCCTCTTTTTTTTTTTCTTTTTTTTCCTCTCCAAGACTTAGCAAGAAACCATCTGGTATTTATTCCCAATATTCTGATGAACAACCATTGCTTTCCTGGGTCGGAGGATATCTTTTATGTCTTCTTTGTTCTGAGTATTGTTTTGAAATCGTTAAACTTGTGTCTTACATGCAGGCGGTGTGTGTTGTTCTATAGCTGACCAAGTAAGCTGCATAGGTTAATATGATGAATGTTTTGATGAAATATTTAATAAATGCAAGATTTTATTATTCACTTGTTGAAAACCAAACACCACACAACTGAGGTATGCACTAGAGAAGACCACTTGGTAGAATATTCTTGAATCGTGACTAGTTTGAATTGGAGACATTTTAATGCTCTCCTGGCAATATACGTGGAGTATTATTTTTCTGTTTTCTGTAGTTTCAGAAATGAGCCTGACACCAATCTTAATGTTGAAATTGATTTGAATTGAATATTTTTTTTTCTTTAAATATCAGGATTGTTTTAACTATAATAGTTTAGTCTATGCAAGTAGTATACTTTTTTTTTAATTCACTTTTGAAAAACTTGTCTTAGGTTCACCTTCTGTGTTACTGTGTTAAATTTAATTCTGCACGTATACATTTTTGCAGAATGAGGGAGAGATAATTACTTTTTGGAAAACTTTATAAACTTCACAGCACTGTTGATAAATTTTTTATCCTCGGTATGTAGAGAAAATAATACAGACGCTGGTGTTCACTTTTTTTTTCTTCTCTGAATGAAGTCATTTTCAGCTGAACATTTTTGTTTTACCTGAGGAAAATTTTTCAATGATTAGATAAAAATGGGAGGAAGAGGACAAGTTGAAGTAAAAGTAAACCCCAAAATTATGTAGGTGCTGGTCTTCAGAGGTATGTAATTGTTGGAAGATGTACATAATTGTGTGGATTCAGAAGTGGTGAAGCAGACTGGATGCCCTCTTCCCAAAGTTAAGCATGAAGTATGTTTCTATTCAGCACAATCCAGCTTTTTATTCAGTTTACTACATATGATTCCTTCCTTTATTTGGTAAATCTTATAGTTTTAAAAGCAGAGCATGTTTTGATAAACCTGTCTGGTTATGATTCCAGCACATTAAAGTTTCATTTTTATTAGGGGAATTAACTGTAGAATGCTGTTTTCATACACTGTGAATTCCATTTTTCATCCAAATGCTGCCTGACATAGGTCCAAGGAAAAACTATTGTCTTGTTAAGTAAGGAATGTGCTATTCATCATTTTATAATGTACTAAATTTTAAAATTAATAATAAAAATAAATGTCTGCTTAACTATGTAATTGCTAGAATGACTAAGAGATATATTGGCTAAGAAAATCAGTTTGTAAAAGTTGAATTTGGGTGTAAACCATGTTGTGCAAGCCAACAATAGTGATCCTTTCTTCTAGAAATGATATATCCCAGTACACAAGAACATTAAAATCACCTACATAATTTAGGTTTCCTGCTTCCTTTTATTTATTTAAAATTATAACTGAGGTGATTGTTGATCCCTTTTTTGCTTTTGGTCATTCCACCTTGATTAGGTGTGCATTTCCACCCCCCACAGAAACCATCTTGGCTGGATTCCTAGATTTTGGTGGTACTTTGCAGATTTATGCTATCTGAGAGGTTCATCTTGGAATAAGATGAACTGATAAATGCTGTATTTTGAAGTCTGTACTTCTGAGTGATGACTCCTATATGAAAGCTGTGTGCAAATGATTTTAATGCTATTTCTGCTTAGAAACTCCTTGAAGTCCAGCTCTTTGTTCCAAAGATATTCTGACATTAAATGTTTGGAATATTTTTTGCTTTGTCCCTGTAGTGAAAGACAGCCTTCCAGTGCTGGAACGCTTTAGTTCTTTATGGTGTGAAATTAGGAACATCCTTTATGTTGGGGAGGACTTTGTATGTTTTTCAATGATGAATAAAAGTTTTAACTTTGACTGCTGTTTCTTCTCCTCTTGTGACAACGATGTGTTCAGCCATTGATTTAGCACATATTTGAACAGTGTGTTTGTGAGGGCAGCCACAGAGGCAGTGTCTATGCAGTTATGCGAATGAGATCTCAGTCCGGAACCAGCATCGTGATCCCAATGTTGTAATAGCCACAGCCTCTTTTGAAATCTTCCCAGTCGTACATGCCTTAGTACAGCACTGAGAAGGTTTTTAAATAGATACATCAAAACTTGTAAAGGCAAATTGGCAGCTCAAATAATAGCCTGCTATATGCAGTTTCATTGTATCTGTCTTTATTAGATAAGGAATGTGGAATTTTGTCTTATTATTGGTTATGTCATGCATCTCAGGTAATCTGTCTTACCTTAGGATGTAGGGCATGTAGGAGAAATGCTTTCAAGGAGTAAATGCAGCATCGTATGACAGCCATGTCTGCAAAATCAGCTCAACATTATTACTGGTTTTGAATTCGAGACTTTAACTAGTTATCTAGTTATAAAGATTCAAACCTTTTGGTGTGAAAAGAAATTTTATTCACCTTTTTAATTCTGCCTTGAAAATATTTCCTCTTAGTCCTGGTCAAAGCCGCCCATCAATGGTCTCGTGGATGAACACACCGTCTGCTAACCCCGCTGCCACAAATACTGCACCGCCCGCTTTCTTCTTCCCTAACCCTGCCACTGGGAGCGACAGAGCAGTGGAAAGGTATGATGTACACTTCAACTTCTGCTGGTTATTTATTTGCCTCCTTTTTCCTGTATCTTTTTGAAAATATCTAATTCATGTCTTCTGCAGTATGTGAATGATTATCTCAAATTAAGAAATGCAACCTTAGCGATATTGACAGAATAAAATAACTGTCTACTTTGTCTTATTTTCCCTTTGAACACCTTCCTTGTGGAAGGCACACAGATTGAGCCAGGGGCTTGTTGGTTAATACAAGCAGACTTTGATTTGGGTGGTCAATTCAATTCATAGTGTCTCTACTGCAGCGATTCTCTTACGGCGTCTTTTAAAGCACAGATTCTTTCTTTTCTGTAGCCACCCATGTCAAATTTAAGTTTCTCAACCTAGCCTTCTTGCCTCTGAAAGACCTGCCTCTGTGTTTACCTGTCTCTGTGGTTTCATTCGTTTCTTTCACTCTTTTGGCCTGCTGTCCTTCCATCCTGTTTCTGCTTCCTTCCATGTTGTTGTCGTCCATCTTTTGAAGTATTTTCACTTTTTCCTTTGAAGGTCTTCACCATCTTAGCTTTTTCCTTCAAGCTTTATACTTTCTACTTTTCTAATTAAAATAATTGGGTATATTCATAAATTCTTCCCAACACTTGGTAACAAAAATTCCATTTCTCATTACTGGTTGCATTTTGCACCAAAACTACATTGTCTGTTTTGACTGCAAGTTCCTTGAGGCAGGGAGAATCTTTCCCAATGTTTTATGTGTAGCTGTTGTTGCCTGGGCTCAACAAAAGATGATTTAATGGTGTGGATGCTGTGTCTAAACAAACCATCACTGGGCAACAGCAAACTGTCAGTTTACAAAGGCGTGATTAAATAAGACATGCCAAAAATACTTGTATATTCCAAGTTCTCTGCTTATGGTACTTGCAGAAATGAATACTTTGGACAAATTCATATTGGTGTCTTATTACTGAGCATTCTGAGAACAACTCTAAAAGACTGCCTAAAATCTTAAATATCTTACAGTGTTTAGGACAAAACAGCATCTTCAGTAGTCTAGTAATTTTGTATTGTAAAGAAATATAAAATGCAAATTCTGTACAGTGATAGTGAAAAGCTGAATTGCAAGATTTATGAAGAAACATTTCAGAAGATATAATGATGATCAGTCTATAAATTAAGTGTAGTATGCTTTGCCTACTATTTATTTCATTGTTGTTTAGTGCTTGGCAAAATTTTAACTGTAGTTGAAAGTCGAGTTTAACTGTCATAAAAATAATTGTGCATAAATTTGAAAGTATGATATTCTGAAATGCCAACAGTAAGCTATGAAGCTTCAGCTTTGGCATTTGTGTGCATAAATTATAAGCCTGTAATGATGCATGTGAGATTGTGTTTAAAGTTTTAGTCATCTCCAAACGAGAATGGAGAGACAATGGTTGAGAAAGGAAAGCGTCTTCATAATAGCAAAAAAATTACTATAATTCATAATTTCATTTTTTCAGCATTGCCCACCGAAAAGCAAGAGCAGTATATCCATGTGAAGCAGAACATAGCTCTGAATTATCATTTCAGATAGGAGCAATTTTTGAAGATGGTAAGTACTGCTTGAGTAAATATAAAGCAATGAAAAACACATTGACAAAGCTGCTACAATGGCTTTGGATAAAAATACAAGCCTAACTACTTTCTGCCAACATTGCTGATGGCACAAAGTTGGTGACATAGAAGATTTCTGGTATGTAGAAACTACTTAGCATATACTTAGTACTGTAAGGCAATGCCTTTGATTTCTGGTGAGTAGACGCTTTCAATTGGTCTAATTTTTCAGCAGCATGTTGAATGTGTTGTAGTACCAAAAAAAAAAGGTTATTCAGCAATAGAGAAAAACATCTTGGCCTATGAAACTGCATTTTTAAAAAATGTGAACTATCATTGTAAAATAACACATGGGCTTTCATTTCAAGAAAAAAAAAAAAGTCTCTTTACAGGTTTTCAGGCAAGCAGAGCTCCAGGTAGATCAGGTGATCACTGGAGAGAAAAGGTATTGTTTACTTTTGGACCAAGGGGTGCCTTGGTGTGTGTATGTACTTGCAGAAAAAGGAATATTCACTGATGTGCAGAATGAAGGCCTGTGTTTAAAGATTTCTATGGACCCATATATAGTATTACATATAATTATCCAGAAGGTGATTGCTGTGCTCAAGACTGTTGCTCCTCAGTAAGCTTCCATGGCTCTACACTTCAGCAACTGCACAGGGACTTCAAACTGACAGAAACGATTTTAGTTTTTAAATCTTATGCCAATGACTACTCTAATACAAACTCTGAAGATGTAGAAAATGACATTACAGTGTAGTTTCTTCTTATTGCAAGGAAATTTCTGTTATTAGAAAGAGATGGTATGGAATGGCTCAACAGGGCCTGGACAAATTCAGCAATTCTTGTTACTTGAATGCAATTTAATAATTGTAAGCAGAAATTAATTCATAACAGCAGCACAGTAAGACTGTTGTTTGTTACAAGACCTTGATAAAAAATTACATTCGTACTAACTCCCAGAAAATTCTGAAGTTTTGTGCAGACTGGGGAATTCGAAGTGACCTGAGAATTACATCCCCAAGATCCATGTGAGTCCTGAGACCAGTATTTCAGTCTTTCAGTCTGACTAGAGGCAGGGAGGTAGTAAGAGGCATGCTGGCTTGTAAGAAATCTGGAAATTCTGCAGCAATGCCTGTTTTCTTCCCATCTGTTGTCAGCTTTTAGCTTGCTACTAGGTCAGAAATCTGATTTGTGCTTTCCAGAGGAAAAGTGGTATTTAATTCTGCATGACCAAATGAACTTAGGGGATGTGCTGCCCAGTCATTCAAATAACACATGTGAGAATCTTTGGTTGGATGTCCAATAAAGGAGGAGTATTCCAAATTCCCAGTTGACATCCAGTAGGAAAAAGAGAAAAGTACACAGTCTAAACCAGCTGGAAAACATCAACCTGCAGGCATTAAAAAGCTAACTAAATATGTCATATGTTTCCCAAAATGCACCCTATTAACTCTGTTAGCACTGGATCAAAAGTGTCTGTGAGAGTTTTTCTCATAAATGAAAATCTTTTAGTTTTTTAAAACATGACTGAGAGGGATCTTCAACAGACATAAAACTGTGTACAGGAAAAAAAATCTAGTGCATGGGGGAGAAGATCTGATGCATAGCAGAGAGGCATTTCTAATGCAGAACAACAAGGGTTGCACACTTGTGATGTTGACATGGGATAAGAATCTTTCAAGAAGCAGTTGCTTCTGTGTCGCGTGTTTGAGGGCAATGTTAAGATTCTTTTCTTGTGCAAAGAGATCACTAGAAGTTACAGCAAAGCTGCTGTGGGTTTGGTACATTACAGCCTCAGCTGAGTCTTCCAGCTAG